CTTACGCTAAGTCCAATTTATGAATCCATTACAAGCAATATTTTAAACGAGGAGAAACGTTCGAGGAAATTTAATTAAATTTGTTGGTTGTTTACTTCAGTTTCCTTGCAAAATTAATAAGAGATAAAACTTTAGGATCCACAAAAATTCTCCTTAAGACCGAAAAAAATTAGCAGCAAATACTTACAAAAGATTTTATCATTATATGGAATCCAGCCTTCTTGAAATTTAGGATCATTTCAAGTAACTTAAACTACATTGAGTCCCTAGCTTTAAAGAGCAAATTAATCATACCACATTCAGCTAACAACGGAAAAATTTGGCAGTAACAAACTTATCGTCACTCTTTTGATTCGATTCTGGCCCCATTGACCTATGGTCCGGGTAAATTTTTCACATTATCAGTCAGGTGAAATATTCAGTACGTGAAGCAGCAATCACCTTGAACAATGCCTGCACCACATAGGAGATAGTATCTGATAAACTTATTCCGTTTAAAAAATCGAATAATTATTCGCAGAAAAGAATATCTTGAAGTAACATCGTAGATTAAAATGAAATATGCTTCTACTCCCATAAACGATTGAGAATATAAGATGGTGTTACTCGTACTTCTGTGGCAAGCAGCCAGATTTACCACTAGCTGCCAGAGACTGTGCAGATATAATGCAATCACAACTGCATCGAATCTAGCGAAAGGATACATGCAGTTCGCGTTGGATGAAAAGAATAAACAAAGGATATGTGCGATTATCAGTCCTGTTATAAGGATAAGCCGCAGGACCAATAATTAATGCTCCGACCATTAGACTACTCGAGCAAAAGTTATGCATCCAGGCTATACATACTCTTTGTTTGCTTCTTTCCTGCATAAATTGGGTTTTGAGGTTAAAACTGTGAAACTTATTTGGAATGGAAGGGCTGTTTTAAGCTGGAAAGATGCATCCAAACGCCTAACGCATTTTTAAATCCTGCCTTTTTCTGCGCCAAGTTTGATCAAATATTATTTTTATAGTAATCAGCTAAATCCCAAATGAAGCCTTTTTATGACCAGTCGTTTGCCCTCCATTTATAATTCGACGAAATAATATAAGGGAAGAATATTGTTGCCTTAATTTAATGAAGTAATTGCTCATATACTAATATTATGCAAATACAAAAACTTATATCAAAAAGTCATAAATGCGTACAGAGACCCACGGCTCATAGGCGCATCATTTAAAATACACTCATCTCACAGCAAATGTGTCGAAACAAATATATTTTATGGATACAAGAACATATGTTACTGAGTTCATTCCTCGTTATCTCAGAAAGAAGATTTTATTAGCCAAAGTTTGTTTAGAGACGTCCATACCTTAAGCAAAATTAAAAACTTCAGAAAGCAAATGAACCACTAGAAATAAAAAATATGTTTCACAGTCATTCTTTATGGATTATCCTCCCATTCCTTATTAAAAATGGAAACAAATGATTAAAAATCCAGTGAAAGCAAGTTTAATGCGTAAACCATGTGGATATTTATGTAAACTGATAATTTACCAATATATCCTACAATATTGGGTCATACTAATGTGGTAATGTACAGCTACAATAGCTATATACTATATCCTAGTTTCCATGGCTCCCAATATAAAGTTAAGCATGTCTATGAAAGTAAATTATTAGGCTCCTAACGATGGAAAGTTTCGTATGCCTAGGCTTCTGGATATAGGACAAGAATATTTGCTTCTGTTAGAGCCTTTGACGGTAGCAGAGGTATTATAAAAAACCCGTGAGCCCAATGATATTTCGCCAGGCTTCCTGTTAAAATTCCTTCACGATGGAAATATATGCAAATGTTTAGCCCTATGATTAAGTGCATAATGGCTTCAAGCCTGCCTACCCCGAGAAGATTTCGCAAATCAGCTTCCCGAAATCGAAAAGGTATGTTTGATACGTGCAGTCTTCTTGGACTGGTGAATAATGGAGCTGCCGATGATGACTTTCGAGGCTCATTGAAAGAGGTGGCCCGGTCCATCTGGGCCAGAGAAAGCAGAGGATCATTCCCGGAGTTCGACATGCTGGGGCCGATCCCTGCTGCATGGCCGGCTGGCACATGCGGAAGTGAAGCACCGGTCATTCCGGCGTCTCTGCCGCAGACCACGGTGCCACAGGTGGTGGTAGAGCTTGTCGCTCCGCTAGCAGAAAGTGGCGATGCCGTAATCGTCGCAACAAAAGCATCAGATGTGGAGGACAGAGTATTGGTGGTCTCTGGAGCAGACGTCATTTTGGGGGCAAAATCTGCTGGAGATGTAGTGATGCTCCTGCCAGAGGTCGGGAAAAGTGATTCTAAGCTACTTGATGCCTTTTCTACGGCTAAACTGGGGCATATAGTCGGCTTTAGATTGTGTATTCCAACCTGGGACATGGTATTCGTGTCGACTGTAGTGCAATTCGAGGCGAAAGAAGGTGATCGGACTTTAAAATCACTCGTTGTGTCTTCTTCGGGTCTTGATGAAAGTAAGGACAGTTTTTTGTCGAGCTGTCATTAAAAATAAAGAAAGCGATGATAGTATGAATAGACAGACATTAAAGGGAGGAAACTATTAAGAAGATGTGCATTTTTTTCCACATGCTGAGATAGAGTCTGATAGCGATTCTATTCAAGATAGCGTGATTTGAAATATTTATTTAAGGTAAAAAAAGCGTCGTAGACCTCCTCATCTAATGTGTAGTCTTTACAGTTTCGATGAAAGCAACAATTTATAACATATAAGAAAGTTCCCTTTGTGTCACACAACTTTTAGGCTTAAATCGACATTTCAGGCTGAAACTATCCTAGTAGCGAGAAGCCAGTTGGTAACCTCAATATAAGAAGAATTTGTGCAAACAGGCCATCGATACCGCATCGCTTGGAGTCTACCAGTTAGAAGGCCACTTCGCCTATTTAACTATCGGTTCAGCCAATTTCCAATGCTTTGATGCTTCACTATGGACCAGCCTATTTTTATGGAGATCATGGCTAAATTGAGTTTATTTCTATAAAGAAAATATGATATGTATTCACCCAATTTCGCTTAAGGTGATGAAGGACTGGTAGTAGAATTTTCCCACAATGATACGAGTAAAGCTGACGTTTCCATTAAATTTCACAGATCCCTGCTTTCCCAAAGTTGTTCTTAGTCAGGGTGGACCGCAGTTTTAACCTCGCATAGGCCTGATTTACTGATAGTCTCGAAACTCTACTTATATACGTAAAACAAGTAGACATATTAGTAAAATAGTTGAGATGAACATTAAAAAGCTGGTCTGAATGAAGACAAAAATCCAGTGCATCCGTCAAGACTTAGGTGGAAGATGATGTAGGCTTGTGCTCTGAAAAATCAGGAGTCGCTGCGAGCCATTTCAAGGAGCCTTTCGGTTACAGACCTGTCTGTCGAGGCCTCACACTCAAGGAAACCGGATGTTTATAAACAATCCATGGTAGATTAGGTGGTGAGAATTCGGTGATATTTAATTTATGTAGGAAAGTGACTGCCTTAAAACCCGCACATCTTCTTAGGGTTGCAGATAAGATGATGAGGCGGGTTTGAAGCTAAAGCTCATTCTTGATAATAACAGACTTTTGGTATGCATGATTCATGCAAAAAAAATTAGGCAATCTCCTCCATTCGTTATTATTCAGCGGAAAATGATTTACTCCGACTACCGATAGAAGAGTTCCATGATTTAAGAGACCAGGTAGATTTCACTTTGTCTGGCATTGCCTCGACAAGCCGGCCGAGCCGAACAGCACTAAATGGTATGCATCCGTAACGCAAACATTTAAAATATGGCGTAACCCTTCCGCTGGTCCAAAGTGTCTCTTCTAGAGAAGCATTATTACTAAACCAGCTTAAAGAAGGACAGGCAAGAACGATATAAGATAGTAAAGGAATAAAGGTATAGGGAGGGATAAGTGAAGTAAAAGATATAGCTCACCTCAGTCTTATGTCCACTGCCAAGCGATCGAGTCTTGACTTCTCTGATCTCTGCAAAAAATGGAAATAAAAAGGACGTAATTTAGCAAGAATGCCTAGCTTGTGGTAAATAAGTCAACACTACTCGAGAAAATCAACGAACAGTTGATTCCTTTCCAGCTTATGATTTTAAAGGAGGCTTTCGACGGAATTCTCTTTCAAGACAAATCCTTAAGGTATGAAGACCAGGATGGTGTGGCTTTTTGTGTAATCGAGGTCTCCGTTCGTTATATTGTAGTTGTTTGACCTTGTTTTCGCAATTTGGTCATATCCCCATATTTGGGGATTTATACTTTTTCTCTGATACTTAAAATTGATACAATAAATTAAGGTATGAACTAGTCTTACTGATGACTAATATGATCGTTCGACATGTTTTACCAATATAAGGTTGACAAGAGTAGCACACAATCTTGTAAGAGCCGGATCTTGGTAATGGGTCATATTTCTCTCTAAAAAGTGGCATAACCGAAGAAAGTGTCAGAGTTTCTTTAAACTTTGTTTCTATACCCACTTCCTCACTCGTTCTCCTAACTTCTTAGAAAGAAAGAATGACGGAAAGATTAGAAAATGAGAAATGGTCTCAGCCTGTCTATCTCTGATCAAATAGACCCACCTCAAATTTATTTCCGTTCGAAGAAATATTATCATCAATTAAGCCCTAAGGATAATTATTCTCTAGGACTAAATCTTTCAGTCTCCTTAACCCTTCGGCCTCATATTCCTAAGAATAGATTTAAAAATTCTAACTTTAGTTTTGCATTCATGGTTGCAAAATAAATTAAGAACAAAACCAGCATATGCTAGTTTCCTATAAACATCTCTGCCTAACTTAACATCTTCCCTAACAATCCTAACATCAAAAAAGGTAATCTCCTTTTTTCTTATAATTCTAATGCGGACTTAATATTTCTTTCACGGTGGCTAAGTGAAAATAGGAAACTACTTCAACTGTCATTACCATGCTGCTAGATCAAAAAAGGATCAACCACAAGTCTAACACACAATTTAGGAGTCAGAATTACTTTTTGCCTTCATATCTCTTCGAACGTTAAGTTATTTCCTAGTTACCCTAACTTATAGCCTGCTTAGCGTAAAGGCGTTAACAAACATGGACACACTCGAGTATAAGTGAATTAACCAAACCTATCTATATCTCTTTATATCTAAATTATATCCTAATGAGTATATATATCATATAGGAAAAAGCCAGTTAGTCTTCTTGACTTAGCGTTAACTTGAAGCTTTTGCAAGATTGAGCCCCAAGTCTGATGATGTCCAACATATTATGGATGACAGCTCACTCCGTCTTCGCCTGAAAGATTGGAGCATTTCCAGGTATTGGTACCACCAACCAGACGTGTTTGCGCCGAGCCACACAGCCCTAAAAGTGTTGGAACTTATGAGAAGTTACACTCTATACTGATAACCAAATCCCGCTGTGGCCTTGATGAGACCTACGTGCGATTTAAAGTCAGCTCCATCCTTGAGAAAAGCGCACTTCTGGGGTACGAATTGAAGAGAAATTCATTAGCAAATCTAAGTTCAACTTGGCACGTAGGTCATATTTACGCATAAACCCTTCTCGATTAATGTGTCGTTTTACACTGCTCACCGACGGTCCAGCGACACTTGGTGTTTTTTGATCTACTTGGTCATATCGCAGTATGGAAATTACAATACAGTTAGGCTGTCTACCGCTAAGAATCAGTTAAAAACGCTTCCTTTCTTCCTACTATCTTAAAGTATCGTCTGCATTTACTCTGTTTTTCCAACTGTCCCCACTATGACTGGTCGCCTCTATTTTATGCTTCCTTCATAATTTAACGGTATGGCACCTCCTTCCGTCTAACCAGCGAAGTAAAGAATTCTTGAGAAGAAAAGGCCTAATTAAAGATATGAAGACCAAGATGTTATGGCCTTTGGTATAGTCGCAGTCTCCTTTCGATTTATTGAAGTGGTTTGACCTCGTTGCCGCAACTGGTTCGTGTTGTCAGGGCGACTTAGTAGAACGCACCTAGTCCGAAGTCGTCTGCCATAGTAGTTTTCATGATTCCCAGCATCAGACAGTGGAATTGGTACATTCTCAAACGTTTCGCCAGCATCGTAGTCGGCATCATCAGTGAGTTTTGCCATTCTGCGCACCTAACCCTAACCCACTTCTATAAAAGGCCTAATGTTGGAAAGAGTCAACATCTCCAAAATCAATTCTCTAAAAACTAAATTATCTTTCACAATCCAGGGCCTTACGTGTGGCAGCCAAGGGCCTCTGGTCTCCTATGGTTGTTTTAGAATAAAAGACGATACATGAGGGAGACGAAATTGGTTGCTGTCGATTCTGAAACAACGGATTCAAAATGTATTCTCCTTAAGGCCGCTTAAGGTGATTTGAGTTTTCCAACAATCAACTGGATAGGTCTCAGGATGCTATTGAATTTCCCTTCATTTTGCCTCCGAAAGGTTAACTTATCCAGGTTGGACTGCAGCTCTGACCTCGCTTCATCGTTAAATCAGAATTTCCAACGTGATTCGATACAGGGTCATGAATATCGTGTTGGCATTATCACTTCACTACATAACCACGGATGACAGTGGCTCAAATGGCAGATTGACATTCAAGGCAAGCAAAGCTTCTCAAAAATCGCATCTATAGTACAATTATGGATTAAGTTATCGACAACATAACTTAATTTCGGTATATATTTGTTTACCGGGCTATCGGTAATTTTCGATTAAGAATTTAGCCAGCCTAGGCCACTTAAGGGGGTCTGAGGATGATAGTTGACTTATCGCACAACGAAATGAATAGGCCTGTGACTTACTGGCATCCGCGGATCTAGTGGAACGGTAACCACGCAACCCGGGTTGACCTCGTTATCAAAACTGGGTCGTGTTGTCAGAGCGACTTAGTAGAACGCACCTAGTCCGAAGT